CACATTTGTTAGGCTAGATTGTGTAAACTCGTGAATCAATATTATTATCGCATTGACTTTTTTAATCATCTGACCTCAATTTTTGAAACGTAACTTGCTATCATTCTTTGAGACTTTTGTGATTGATTTTTTGAGGGATTTATAAAGGGATCTCCCCACTCACTGTTACAAATAAATAAAGAATTTTAAGTGTAAACAATAATAATATTAATTTACTTTTTTAGTAACAGAATGTATCATAATTTCTACAATAACAAAAAAATTATGAATATTAATATTCTTTTCTCGCGTAGCATGGAAATCTCTTCCGACAACATGAGGTTACAACATGGAATCAACTTGGATCTTTTGAACATTTGCCAAGTAGAGGGCAGAACTAATATCTAAGTGCCAAAGAACCAAGACCTCAAACTTTCAGAAAAAAAAACATTTCTCAGATGTGGTAAATCAAATGCTGTGATTGCACCAAACTTCTCAATTATTGTAATTTTACATAAGTGTACCAATTAATTACTAGAGTGGGATCATTGATGTTTGTTTTTTTATTAGTGATGATTCAGCCACTTACACAGACAGATGTGTTACTCATGTATTATAGTCAACATACAAGACAACACTATAAAAATTGTATTTGTACTAAAGAATATTGTATCATGTATTATGTTGACTACAATACATCAAGTAATGTGCCTGTTTATATATGACTGAATCATTCATAATACAATTCATTACATTAATTTCACAAATACTCTTAGAAAGATTGCTTTGTTGTTATGCAACTTGGTTACATTAATTTGTTTATTTTCTTTTATGTAATGAGATTTATTCTACAAGTGCATGCCAGCATTACAACTAGATAATATGAAATAAGACTGGTAAAAAGAGTAAAATATAGATGACAGACAAAAAAATATTTGTAAACTAGTGGTGACCTGTCAAATGATGAAACGAAATTAAACATGGACGTAGCAAGGAAAACGCACAATTAATTTTTGCCCGACTGGGATTTGAACGTGGAATTGAACCATTGAAAGTGAGCACACTAACTTACAAGCCACCGACGACTGCTCTAATGTAATATAACTATACACATACATGTACACACACACATTAACTTTACTCCATTAAAAATGTTGCCATTTACTATTGATTAATTAATGATACCGCCTGCAGTTTTTGTATATTTTTCTTCTACTCTTTCCCTCTCTCCTTTTTCTCTCCTTTCTCTCTTTTTCTCTCCTTTCTCTCTTTTTCTCTCCTTTCTCTCTTTTTCTCTCCTTTCTCTCTCCTTTTTCTCTCCTTTCTCTCTCCTTTTTCTCTCCTTTCTCTCTCCTTTCTCTCTCCTTTTTCTCTCCTTTTTCTCTCCTTTTTCTCTCCTTTTTCTCTCCTTTTTCTCTCCATTTTCTCTCCTTTCTCTCTTTTTCTCTCCTTTCTCCTTTCTCTCTCTCCTTTCTCTCTCTCTCCCTTCTCTCTCTCTCCCTTCTCTCTCTCTCCCTTCTCTCTCTCTCTCTCCCTTCTCTCTCTCTCTGACTGGAATCATTCATAATCGACAGCGGTGGCTATTCATTACATCTCACATCATATACAGCAAATACTCTTAGAAAGATGCTTGTTGTTGTTATGTTTTTACCAAGATTGGTTACATCTAATCAGTATTGTATTGCTTTTCTTTTAATGTAATGCTATATTCTATATTTCTGGCTATAGGATGTTGCAATTCGCCAGAGCATTACAATAGATAATGGTGAAAAAACTCAAGACTGGTAAAAGAGTAAAATATAGATGACAGACCCAAAAAAATATTTGTAAACTAGTTTGGGGGTGATCTCCCTGTACACAATGATTTGATGGGAGACACACTTATAAACACATAGGAACGAGCATTTAGCCAGGAAACGCTACGCAATTAATTTGATTGGGCCCGACTTTGGGATTTCGAACGTGGATTGAACCATTTGAAAGCTCAGAGTACCAACTAACTTTAACAAGGATATTCACGACTGATCTGGGCACGTAATGTAATATAACTTTAATATCACATACATGTAACACACACACATTAACTTTACTCCATTAATAACACTGTCTGCGCATCTTCGGGTTTGGTACTATTGAATATAAATTAGATGGATACCGGCCTGCAGTTTTTGTATATTTTTCTTCTAACTTCTTTCCCTCTCTCCTTTTCTCTCCTTTCTCTCTTTTTCTGGGATCCGTTTCTCTTTATGTTCTCCCCGGGATCACCTTTCTCTCTATTTTCTATCCCTTATTCGCCTCGGTATTTCTCTCACTTTTATCCTCTTTGTTATTCTCGAGCAGCTCACCGCCACGTTTCTCATGCTTGGTTTTTGTGAATTAATCTCCTCCCTTTCCTCTCTATTTTCTCTGGCTCTGTCTCGCGCTACTGGCTATTTTCTCTGACACCTTTCTCTGGGTGTCTGAAGCAGTCTCGGTATCCTTTCTCTCCTTTTTCTCTCTTTCTCTCCTTTTTTCTCGTCCCAACTTTATTTTTTTCCTTTCGTCGCCACTCGCTCTTTCGATGCTCTTTTTCTCAACCGTGCTGTTCTTCTCTTCTCACCTCTCTCGTGTGCCTCTATCCTCTCCTTTCTCTCTCTGCCTCCGCTTCTCTGCTCTCGTTTCGCTTGCTCGTATTTTACTATACCCTTCTCTCACTCTCATCCCTTCATCTCTCTCCTGCTCCTTTCTCGCCTCTCTCCTTCTTCATCCTCTAGCAACTTCTTCGCTTCTCTCGTCTCTTCGCATACTTCATGTCTACGCTCTTCGTCTCTCTCTGCCCTATGCTCTCTCTCACTTCTCTCTCTCACCCTCATCGCTTCTCCCTTCTCTCTCTCTCCTTTCTCCTCTCTATCCTTTCTCTCTCTCTCTCCTTTCTCTCTCTCTCCTTTCTCTCTCTCTCTGCTTCTCTCTCTCTGCCTTTCTCTCTCGTCTCTCCGCTTTCCTTCGGATCCTTTCTCTTCTTCTCTCCTTA